CCGCTGTAATTTTTCGATAATTGCACACTTCAAACGGACAGATTATCATACGAAGTATTATTATTCCAAATAATTTATTATAAATTTTCGCTTATTCTGTTCGTTTTTTGATAGAAAATTATTCGATTTTTGTCTCAAATTCGAAGCTGGAAAAGTATTTCAAAACTTTACAAAGCGACGAAGGAAGCGAAAGTTCTAATAAAATGTATTTCATAATTTTTCGCCAAAAATACCCTCATTTTTAAGTGCAACTTTAGAAAATTGAGCATTTAGAAGAAAGAGTAACTTCGCGAAAACTGGAAAATTCTGAAATTTTGAAGAAATGTTAAAAACATTATTGATAAATGGCCCTTAAAATAAATCTCAAAAAGGGAAGGGAACTGAGTTCCTGCGCCTGTGCGTTGTGTTGGCGTACCAAGCTATTTGCGTGGCGCTGCGCCAACTCCTAAAAATTCGTTGAGTTACCCAGGCCTAGCCCAAACAGAACCAACTGCTAGGAGGAAACCACAACTCACTTTTGATCCTGGAACGGAAGCGTTGGAGTAGTGCGGCAGCCGATAGACTGAGCCGCCATAAAAAATGTCGTCCCGATAGAGCGGCCGATTAACGTTGGTGAAAGACAGCGGACGCCTGCAGCAGGCACTCGCCCTACAGCAGCACCAGAACCTAAAAGGTGCGACTGTTGCGCTCAGATCCTGCTCTCAAGCCCTGCGCACACATTTCGTGTCACCTGCAGTTGGCGGCCCAAGTACCACGCACCTCCTGCTGGCTGTTTGAGGGGGAAGCGCCTCCATTGGCGCTCGGAGCGCCTGCAATGCTATCCTGACTGAAGGGCTTCAGGTAAGTTGAGCCCATGTCGTCCTCGTAATGTCTGAAACAGCGCAGTTCATAAATCGTCCATTTGGGAACACATTGCATAGAAGCTGTAAAAATAGCCCTTACCCAGGCATGAAGAAACTGTAAGCGGTGCTACTAGTTTGACTGCCATGCGGCAGCACGCTCGCCTCAGAAATAGTGGGAAAAAAGGCGTTCCTAAAGCGGCGGAACACTGCCGCCAGCCCGGTGCCAAACCTCAGCTCCGATTCGGTGCTCAAGGTGTCTTTAAAATCGAATTAAATTGAACAGAAATTATTAGGTGATTAGGTGAGTGTCCTAGAATGGAACACTAAACGCGACCCACACATGGACGTCCTTTGGGAGACCTGGCCGAATTGGACGGTGCGCTCCACTCGGACGGCTTTGATTGGCTTCAAGACCAGGCCGACCACGGCGCAGACTGCGAACACACCAGCCACCATTCGGAATACGCTCCTCCAGGACCAATCGCTGAAGAACTGGACCATGAGAGCTGGGAAAACCACCACTCCTACTCAGGACGGTTCAAGCAAATTATTTCCAGTGTTATTGAGAGTGGGTCTGAGTGATACTGTGTCTTAAGGCACTTGTGTGTTGATGCCGCGACACCTGGCCACGCGCAGTTACCATATGGTTTCTGCCCTCTCGGTAGGGATTATTTTACGTTATAAAGCCGCACGAACGAAAGTGCTCAAGATACTTGTCTACCGATTGCAAAACAACAAAAATGAGGAGGATCGAAGATTTATCATTAGAAATCTCTAAAGCGGAAACAAGATATTTCGCGTTTAACGTAGTTTTATTGAAGAGTTTGGAGTTTTACGAGAACTTTCAAGTAGAAAGTAGGTAATTTCAGTTCAAAGTGAGAATTCTACTTCTAGAGTTTGTAAGGTGAAACTTGCAGTTTGAAATTGAAACGTTACAGTGTAAATTTCGAATATTTAGGCTCCAAAGGCAGACGTTTTCGAATTAAGCCTGGGTAACGTTTTAAGGAGTTGACGCAGTGCTGCGCAAACGTGTTTGAGGACGGGTGCAGTAACTCAGCTCCGTGGCTGGAAAAATGTCACTTATAAAAAATGTGGTGACCCCTTTTTCTCGTCTCGGGTCTCGTAACGCTTTAATGCGCTTTAATAAATGAGTTATAACTCATTAACTGCGAGAGGGGCAACAACTCAACACAGTGTTATCCAGCCCTAGTAAAACTTGATCCAGAAGCGTTCGTTTTTGAATTCTCGAGCGACAAGAAGCACAAGCGAAAGTTATGCGGAGATCTTCGAGGGCGACAGAGATGTTTTAAAGGCAAACACTAATCAATTGACCGGTTGACACCGTTTTTTCCCTGGACACTGGTTCAAGAGAATTAAAATCGAGTTGTGGCTAATCAAAAAACACAATTTCTGCCAAAGTGAGTGAGAAAAGGCAAGGATTGGAACGAGGGCATTTTTGTCTCGCGATGGGGAACGATTTGCTTTTGAGCCATCATCAGGTGGCAACTCAAATTTAAAAGACACTGTGTGTAAATTGGGTTGGAATTTTCAAAAAATTCAGTTCGGCCTAACCGAGTGGGTCAGAACGTGGCCAAGGCGTGTTTAAAAACTTTAAGTGCTGTGGTTTGTTTCTGGTTGTGGTTGGTTTAACCTTAATAATTTTCGGGGAAAACGGGAGGAATTTATTTTCGTTCTTGTCCCGAATTCGACGCTGAAAAAAGTTTTTGTAAAATTCGTACAAAGCTATAGATTTATCTTGTAATTTTTCGCAGAAAAGACTTCCAGATCGTCAGTATTTTTAAGTGAAACTCTACAAAATAGAGCGTTTTTGAATAAAAAATAAACCAAAAAATTCAGTCAAAGCTAAAAAACCACATTAAAAAACAAACCTCTACAGCCTTCAGATGAATGGAGATGGCGAGATTTTCAAATAATCTGTTACAAACTTTCGCTTATTCTGTTCGTTTTTTGATAGAAAATTGTTTGATTTTTGTTCCAAATGCGACGCTGGAAGAAGATTTCAAAACTTTTTAGAAAGCGACGAAGGATTCGAAATTTATTTCATAAAATTTCGCAGAAAATACCTTAAGATTTTGCGTTTCTGATTTAAAACTTTTAGTTTTGTGATCGGTTTTTGCGAAAGATTTAATAGTTTCCGGGAAAAAACGGGATAAATTTATTTTCGTTTTCGTCCCTAATTCGAATTCGAAAAAAGCTTTGTAAAATTTCTACAAAGCTGTAAATATATATTGTAATTTTTCGCGTAAAACCACATCCCGATTGTCAGTTTTTGTATGTTATACTCTACAAAATAGAGGGTTTTTGAGTAGAAAGCAAAGCAAAAAAAATCAGTCAAAACTAAAAAAACATTTTTTTTAACAAACTCTACATTTTTCAGAGGAAGGGAAGTGCTGAGTTTTCCAAATAATTTATTATAAACTTTCGCTTATTTAGCTCGTTTTTTGATAGAAAATTATTTGATTTTTGTCCCAAATTCGAAGCTGGAAAGGGATTTTAAAACTTTTTACAAATCCACGAAGGAGACGAGTGTTACTCAACAAAAGTAGCTTCAGATTGTCAGTATTTTTAAGTGGAACTTTAGAAAATTGTGCATTTAGAAGGAGTAACTTCTTCTATAATATTAAAAATATTATTAATAAATGGCCCTTAAAGTAAATCTTAAAACAAGTAAAAAAAGTCATCAAGCTTCGTTTCCCGGCAACGGAACTGAGTTATTCCGCCGGTGCGTAGGGTTGGCGCACTAAGCCATTTGCGTAGCACTGCGCCAACTTCTGAAAATTAATTGAATTCACCAGGCTCAGGGTAGTGGTGTGCACATTTTGAGCTGTTACGCTCGCAAGCTGAAGAGATAAAACCTTTTTACAATCGAACCTGGTGGAATTTTCAGCTCCAAATAATTTGTAGCGGCAAAACAACAAAAATGAGGATTATCGAAGGTTTATCATTAGAAATGACTTAAACGGAATCAAGATATTTCGCGTTTAAAGTAGTTTTATTGAAGAGTTTGGAGCTTTACGAGAACTTTSAAGTAGCAAGTAGGTAATTTCAGTTCAAAGTGAGAATTCTACTTCTAGAGTTTGCAAGTTGAAACTTGTAGTTTGAAATTGAAACGCTACAGTGTAAATTGCGAATATTTAGGCTCCAAAGGTAGACGTTTTCGAATTAAGCGAATTTTGAATGAATTTTTAGGAGTTGACCCAGTAACTCAGTTTCGTGGCTGGAAAAACGTCACTTATAAAAAATGAGGTGACCCCGTTTTCTCGTCTCGGGTCTCGTAACGCTTTAATGCGCTTTAATAAATGAGTTATAACTCATTAACTGAGAGAGGGGCAACAACTCAACACAGTGTTATCCAGCCCTAGTAAAATTTGATCCTGTAGCGTTCGTTTTTGAATTTTCGAGCGACAAGAAGCACAAGCGAAAGTTATGCGGATATCATCGAGGGCGACAGAGATGTTTTTAAGGCAAACACTAATCAATTGACCGGTTGACAGCGTTTTTTTTTCTGGATACTAGTTCAAGAGACTTGAAATCTAGTTGCGGCTAATTAAAAAACATAATTTCTGCCAAAGTGAGTGAGATGGCTTGATGCCAAGGCAAGGATTGGAACGAGCGCATTTTTGTCTTGGGATGGGGAACGATTTGCTTTTGAGCCATCGTCAGGTGGCAACTCAAATTTAAAAGAGAGTGTGCGTAAATTGCGTCGGAATTTAAAAAAAATTCAGTTTGGCCTAACCGAGTGGGTCAGAACGTGGCCAAGGCGTGTGTTGGAAAGGGCGCTCACTAATTTGTGGATTTTGAAAGTTTTGTTTTTCTGTGATATTATCGGGGACGATTTGACAAATTTCCAAGTTGGGTTGAGAGTGTTTTTTCTTAAACTGCGCTTCAAAATGCATTTCTGCCCTTAACTTTTTTCTTAAACCAAGTGGAAAGTTTCATATTCGCACCAACATCAGCAGTAAAATGAGCGCAAAAGATCATTATCGATTTCTGCGAATCTACTGGTGATGGAACAAAGTCATTTAGTGACATCCAAAAGTGCCTAATGCGATTGGAGTCACTGGTTTCAACCCAATAAACACTCAACTGGCCACTCGACAGGTTTTTTTCAGAAATAAGTATCGTGCCCGTAGAACTCGGCACAACAAATAGTCACTTCGGGCTGTCGAAGTTGTGCCAAACACTATGAGCACGGTACTGGTTTAGAGCCAAAAACCGGGTAACTCAGTTAGTTCAACAGTAGGAGTTGCAGAGCTAAAACTCATTAACTCAGACAGTGGCAACAGCCCAAAAGCGCAGCTGAACACAGTGTTACCCAGTCCTAGCTCTCAAGGGTCGAAAATGGTACTTACCGAGCGAAGATCCGCAGCAGGTGACAGCCATCGCTAAGGCGCGCCAGCGTTCAAAGTAGAACCCGATGGAAACCAGCGAAGCTGTGTAGATCAAGTTGAACCCGCAGCCTCCCATCAGCCCGACCAGAGTCAAGAAGAGAGGCAGCGAAGTGGTGAAAGAGGCCAGCAGATAGACCCCGGCCAAAAGAGCGCCTCCAAACACGGCCACCACTTGGAACCCGAACCGGTTCACGATCGAACACGTTAATGGTCCTGAAACCGAGAACAGCATTGTCGTTCACTCCGCAAGGGAAACGTCTTTGCCAGACCGAACCGAAGAGATAGTAGAACCCGCCGGACAGAGCCGATAGCAAAGCGATGTCGGTCAGCTCGCAGTGGAAGTCGCGCATCATTTCTTCGAAGAAGATGGAGAAGCAGTAGCCGAGACCATCGACGCAGAACATGACAAACGTGACGGCGACCATCACTGCCCAGCCCCAGCCTCCATCTGGGGGAACCGACACCAGCGGCTCTGCCAGCTCCGCTAGGGCCGATCTGGTGGTGGGCGCTTTTGAGCCGAGACCATTCACTTTGGAGCTCTTCGATATCATCGTGGAATCTTTCATGATTCATTTTGACATTAAATAATCAGCGAAAGCTCATTCAGACGGAACTTTTGACTCTGTCAGAATTCCAATTCCATATACAGGTTTACAAGTTGAATGGGGCTGCGTAACACCCTTAATAATAACGCCGGCGTATCGATCCTGCGCGTCGCAACCCTCACCTTGCAACGCGGAGAATCGACCGCGATTTTGGCGTGCAGGAAAATCGGTCGACAGTGTTTCGCGTTAAAATCCAGCAAGAAAAACCGCGGACTGACGATGCAGGAGGGCAGGGAATATGCGGCGCCTCCAAAGGCGCCCAGGCCCTTGGTGGACCCCGAAGCCCAAGGCGAAGTCGACCCTTCCCTGTAAGTCTTGTCCGATTGACCCAATCTCCTCCTGCTCATTCCAACGCACATTTGCCTCAGTTACCCGGAACCGAAGGAGGCCACCCACAAAATCAGAGGCAAATCCGACATCCTGGAGCACGTGTTCGGTCCTGTCGATCCCGAGCTTTTGGTGGTCAAGAGCTTCTACTTCTTCTTCTACTCCGCCTTCGGATCGCTGTTTCCGCTCATGGGCGTCTATTTCAAGCAAATGGGCATGAACGCCACCCAGAGCGGCTTCCTCATAGGATCGCGCCCCTTTGTGGAGTTCTTGGCCGCCCCGTTCTGGGGCAGTTTGGCCGACCGGTGGCAGAAGGGCAAAGTGCTGCTGTTGGCCTCCATCGCGTGCTGGATTATTTTCACCGTACCCTTGGGTTCTATTCAGCCGCCCGCCATTTCTTGCATGACTTCCCTGAACAACTCGCCAGTGCTCACAGTGCCTGAAGTGTCCCAGCATCTGGTCAACAAGCGCTCGGTGCCCGATACGGTTCTGCACGAAAGGTAAGTTTACTCCTTGGAAGCCTGCCCCCTAAAAAGTAGATGAAATGACTAGAGGACTACTTGGTGTCCTCTTGTCTGCCTGTCCTCTCTTTATAAGTATCTATTATCTACTCGGTGTTTCAGCTATAAAAGGCGTGTACGCTCGACCAGGGCTCTGTACAATATCAGCGCGGGCCAGTCCCCAGTGACAGTGGGCTACGCCTCCAACTACAAGGAGGCGGAGCATGGCGCCTGGGTGAAACCCATCATCTCCACGATCGTCTACAAGACCACGGACATTCAGAAGGCCTTCTTTCTGCTGATGCTTCTGATCATCATTGGGGAATTTTTCGCTGCGCCCGCCATCACACTGGCAGACTCCGCTGTAATCACGATTCTAGGCGAGGACGCCGACACCTACAGCAACCAGAGGATGTTTGGATCATTCGGCTGGGGCCTGGCCATGTTCTTCGTAGGTAAGCAGTTATTTATCTTTGCTCAATGGAAATTTGAAAGACACAAATGTCGAGAGCTCGCCCAGGAGTGATTAGAGATGGGTAGGATTCGTATGATTTGTATCATTGATACGAATGGTACGAATCCCTAAAAAGAGAGATTCGTAATATTAATTATTTGGTATTACAAAATAAAATAATACTCAACAGATAAGTATATCTAACTAAAAAGAAAATTTTAAAAATAATTGAATGTACTTCTTCTTAGCGTGCCTTATCCGTCGCGAACGTTAGCTATCAACATGGCAATTTTAATTTTATTGACGGCATTTCTAAATAGCTGTATAGATGTAAGTCCAAACCACTGGCGTAGATTTTGCAGCCATGAGTGTCTTTTCCTTCCTGGTCCTCTTTTACCGTTGGTCCTTCCTTGAGCTATTGACTGGAGTAGACGATATTTTTGATGTTTCATTATGTGTCCGAGGTATTCCAGTTTCCTCTATTTAACTGTGAGTCTAATTTATCTCTCTTTCCCAATTCGCTGCAGCACCTCTTTATTATTTATGTGGTCAGTCCACGAGATTCTGAGGATACGGCGGTATATCCACATTTCAAAGGCGTTTAATTTTTTTCATTATGGCTTCCGTCGTTGTCCATCCTTCTGCTCCGTAGAGCAGAATTGGGAACACATAGCACTTTGCCAACCTCATTTTTAGAGGCAGGGATAGATCCTTGCTTGTGAATAGAATGTACAAACGTAATTAAACTGGCACATGTTTTGCATTACCTAATCTACCTACCTACCTAATCTTGACCGCTTTTCATCAATTGTTAGACCTCCTTTAGAGAATATCCGCTCTGCTGGTACGGAAGTTGCTACAATGCCCAATCTTTTTTTCATTAAATGGAATAAACGTGGACATGTAGATTGTCTTTTGTACCACCACATTAGTTTTAGTATCATGAGTACCGATACCTAATGCGAACTAATACGAATGTTGGCGGCTTCGGTCGATTGTATCGATGCGAAATGAGCGAATCTCCTGGAAATAATCTTTTCTTGATACCAATCTATATGGTACGAATCACTAAAAAGATTCGAATCGCATACCTCTAGTAGTGATGGGCGAGACTAGTCAGACCAAGATCAAGACTGCCTTTGGTTTGCAAGACCAAGACCAAGACTATGTATGCGAGATCAAGACTTTTGCAAGAGTCTCGCAGGACCAATCCAGTCTCGGGTCTCGTAAAGCTTTAATACATGACTTATTAGCCGATGAGTTATAACTCGTTAACTTAGACAGCGGCAACAACTCATACACTCAACACACTGTTAGTTCAAGTTCGCTAGCGGTGCTTTTAAGCGGTGCAGCGCGTTCACTGTTTTTTCTTTGGTTTTACTGAAGAGAGACTATGACTTATATTGTGTGTTAGACTATGTTTTAATGAAAGGAATGAATGGAGTGGCAACATGTCTTCTTGTTGTAAATCCTATTTGTCTCACAAGTATCTGTGATTGGTTTCGAAGCTTCTGGGTCAAAATTTGGCTTCGGCACACTGTCCAATTGTCAAATTTCTCCTAATTACAGTTTGCCAGATATCGGTAGCGGCGGTTCTCGGTGGGACACCCTGTTTAAGCCCCATCAAAATATTTACATCTTACTGTATATATTTCAATGTTGTACTTTCGTTAGAATATGTAAATTACACTATAAACTTGAAAATATATTCGATTTCTCTGGATAAAGATCTTCTGGATCGGAAGTACCGGTCAACAATTTTGAATCTTACAAAATAAGTAAACTTATTAAATAGCAGATTTTTGTTGTTTTGTATTGATTAGTATTATCTTTTAATTTAATTATTGCTATTGTTGAAGTGATAACTTTTCATGGGAGGCTGAACCGATTTTTCCCGGTCACGGCGAGCC